ATTTTTATTTTAAATTAAGAACAGGTGCCATAGATTATACTTTTCTAGTTTCACTGCTAGTGAACAAAAGTAGGCCTAAAGTCAGGTACATAATTATTTCAAGGATCATTCTTTTTTGTTGGTAGATGTTTATTGCCGTATCTTTTTTCTTCAGATTTCTAAATAATAGTAACAGTTGCTATTACTAGAATATATACAAGTTGTTATACTGTAAGCAAAGTGCCAATCAATCTTTCTATATCAAAACTGAACTAGTTTCTTCAGAAGACCTATTAATATTGTTAGAAAATAAAAATGGCTGGGTTCTAACTGCCCACAGGTAAGACAACAGAAATCTCAGGTAAAAGGTGGATAGGGTTACAGTTCTTCAATGTATCCTCTGGTCAACAGAATTTGTTGTGATGTGGATCTTTACCGTGCAGCCAAATCATACTCTCAGTAGTCAAATATATCCCTGAAAGTGAAAAGGTTCCTACTCCTATTTTTAAGAATGCAACTGAATGAACATTTATTTGAAGGAACAGTCCTGTTAAACTCAATAGGCCTTACTTCATAAGATAAACTGTCTGGCTTTAAGCAAATTAACTGAAAGTAAACCATACCCTGATTAAAATAAGTGGTTATATAAATGATATAACTTCCAAATACCTTACTGTATTCCTAATACAATAAAACTCATGTTTGTATAACATGTATCTAGATAGTCTTCACTTACCAACCACAAAAGGGACTGGCAACTCTGTCACTAAGTGACACGGAGTGAAATGTCACACGACTGTACCTGGCTTACAATATTAGTTCGTCACTTCTGGCTATGATTCTTAAGCGAATCACCACAAGTTGTTAAGTGTGATGTTACTTCACTACAATTTGTGAGTTCCTGCCAACTTTCCCATTGATTTCCTTGTTAACAAATGGCTGTGAAGATCACAAATGGCAATAACGTGACTGTGGCTCTCTCCAACCATCATAAATGCGCACTGCTTACCTAGAGTCCGAATCATGATCATGTGACCATGGGAACACTACTACAAAGGCTGACACTTTGAGGACTGATTGCAAATCTCTGTTTTCAGTGCTGTTGTAAGTTTGAACAATGCCTTGGAAGAGACAGAATAAAGTCTGAAAACAGTGATAGGAAATTGTTCTATGGCATGGGAGCTAAGGAAATAATTAGCTTTCCACCTTAATTTTTTAATATTATTAAAAGCATATTCAGCTTTCTATTTACTTTACTACTCAAGGTGACTTATCAGCAAGCAAAAAATGCAGAATATTAAAGTTTAAAAATAATACAAGTAAAACCCAAACCAGAATGAAAAGCAATCGATAAAAAATTAATAAATATTGAAAGTTGGAGCCAAGATAGCTCCTTAGGGAATTCTTTCCAAGCTTGTAGCCATAGAGAAGGTGGTTCTTTCTCCCATAGATGAACCATGACAATGGGGTATCTTGAAAAGGGCTTCCCCTGCCAACCTGAGTAACCCGAAAAGTTTCCAGCAGGAGACGCAATGCCCCAGATAATCTATCACTAAGCAGTTTAGGGATTTAAAGGTCAGTGCGACCATCTTCAATCGTGCCTGGGTCACATTTAGCAATCAGTGCAGATTTTTTTTAGTGCAAACATCACAGGATTCCTATATTGTATAGCAGCACCAGAAGCTGGCTGTTTCATTTTGCACCAGTTGCAACCTCTGGATACTTATCAAGGGTAGGCCCACATAAATTAGAAGAGTTGTAACCAAGGTGCATATTACTGTCACTAAATGCCATTGGCTCAGGGAAGATTCCAGCTGCACCCTAGCCATATCTGTGTAAAGCACTGCTCATTGCAGCTGCCAGCTGCAAATCCAAAGACAGCTGATGGTCAAGAACCTCTCTAAAATTGTAAGCCCATTTCTTCTTGGACAGTGCAGTCCCATCCAAAACAGGAGGCATCATAATTCCAGAGTCCAGCTTTCTTCTTGCCAATGGTATCTCTGGCTTGTCTGGATTTAATTTCAGCTTGCTCAGTTTCGTTCTTTGAAGAAGTTCTTTTGACTAATTCTGAATCTCACTGAGCAATCTCATGTGTGAGCAGAATGAAATCCAATTCACACTTGCCATGCCACGCACCATTTCCACAGTATTTCTTTTAACAGCGTTCCTTACCTTGGAGTAAAGAAGTCCCAAATGCCTTAATTTTTTTATGATTGCATTTTACTCCATTTATGTATCTGCTGTAAGTTGTGAATGGAAGAAAGGGTTGCAGAAATGAAACATAAAAATGAAAGGGCAAAACAATGTTCTGAACTATGAGGAGAGTGGGAAACGAGTTGTTTGGCCTTTTCCCCATCGACTTCATACTGAAGAATGCATGGGTTGGGGGGGTTCCTTAAAAATCATCTAGTCCAATCTCATGTCTAGCATAGGAGTCCATTTCTACAACCTCCTTTATATACCACCACCCAGTCTGTTTAAATATGAAAGAGTTCACCACTGACCAAGGCATTTGTTCCACTGTGCTCCTACTTTTAGGGCATTTTTACAGAAGACATTGAACTCCTTGTCTGGGATAGGACTTGAATAACTGTCCCTCATCTTCTGTATAACTGTTCTGATATTTGAAGATAGAGATCATATCTCTCTACCACTGCCTCTTCTCCAGATTAAACATAATAATAATCTTGCATGTATAATTAAGACTATTATCCAGTAAGTATTCATAACAATACACACACACCATAGCTAGGGTCCTTAATGTATAACCTAAAGAGAGAGGTCTCTCAACACAGATCTTATGTTCATAACTACCAATACGTTACAAACAATATTCACTTACCACACAGTCCTATGCATAAGACCTTTTGTGTTCAGTGGGGCTCATCAACTCAGTAAGAGTTGATGAGTCTGTGAGGACCAGAATTGGAGCTTGGGAACTCATTGCTTTCTTTTAGGCTGGGTTCACAGATCACAATAAATCAGGATTCATTTAGCCATGGTTTGTAGAATAAACCAGTGTTGTGAGGGTTCTTATATCTTGTTAACCTATAACTATATTTCATAAGTGTCAAAATCTGGATTTGAACTATGCACTGAGCCAAAAGCAAACCCACTTCATTTGCTTTAGTGTGATGCATGTACTCAGACTCTATTTCACAGTTGTGGGGCCAATCCAAGATCCTTGAAAGTAGGACAAATTATAAATATGTTCTGAGCAGAGGGGCAAGGTTTCTGTAGTCCCTTCTTACACTATGAGTCCATTATTTTTATTTTACAAGAATGCCTTCGTGAAATGCAAGGGTACTCTTGAGAAATAAAAATGATTTTAGATGTTTAGAATTAAAATAATCTTGTTTAAAAAAAAAATAAGAGTGGGGCAGAAAGTGGCAAGGAAAGTATCCACGTATACACTGGTATCCAAAGGCAACATCCTGGGGATTTAAGTGCATACGATGCAATTATATTGATACCATTCAGCACATCTGAGCACCTGGACTGGAATCCCCTGAAAGTCCCAAGCAAGCAGTTTTATATTTCCTGAAATGCTATAGAAAGCATAATAAATAACCCTCATGCTCTTCGGAAAGAAGGAAATCAATTCAGCAACCACCTTCACAACCCCGAATGTGAAAGAATGAAACCAATTCTGCAGTTCTTTCCACTTGGAAACACCTGTTGAGGAACCATACAATGCAGGCATTCTTCCATTACCTCTAGCATTCTCTCAGGGGGAAAAAATCAATATACAACCACTTGCCTTCATTCAGGAATGGAAGAACAAGGAAGAGGGTGGGGGTGGACATAACACACGTGCATGCCAGTTAACCAAAACAAAGTGACAAGGTGATTTCATGATTTCTTTAGTTCTTCCTTTTGCCTTCTGCCCTGGGCTTAAATGACTCAATTGTAAAGAATCTTTAAGGTTGATATGCATTATATCAGTCCAGGAAGAGGTGAAGCCAAATTCTTACAGTGAAAAAGGAAGGAGGGGAAAAAAACATATATACTCATATTTTACACAAATAAGTCAACAAATAGCAAGACCTTACAGCATCCATGGTGCATAAACTGAGTCTTCAAGTATTAAAACTTCAGTTGTAGCATATTGGTGGCCAGTTCTGCAAAACCAGGTGTCTCTTTTCTATTTTGCAGAACACAAATTTGCGTTCCTTAATGATTATGTAGAAACCATTTAAGATGGTCTTGTTATCCGAACAACTATTTCACTACCTAACAAGTTATCTTTGTTTCCATCCCATCTTTTCTGTATGACTAAAACTATCATGAACCATTGGCACAAATTTCAGCTGCAGTGTTCCTACTAGTTTGTTGTACTTATACATCTTGGACAACTTTAATGGGCAGCAAACAAAAATAAAAAAAAGATTTCATTCTTTGGGTCCTGTCTGTCAAGCAGTATTGACAGCCAAGTAGCCATGACACCCCCCTCTCCCCCCCCCCTTTTACTTTAAGCCAAGTAAGGACTAAGTCATGTCTTGGAAAGTTAACCGCAAGATATACAAAGCAGTAATATCTCATGTGAGACTGCAAGGGAAAATATATATATACAAATATATCTTTCGATGCATATCTTGTATAATGCTAGTCCCTGCAACTGTAAAGCCGAATCATCCACGGAACACCACCTTTGGGGAAGATAATTTAAATGACTGGGGGTGGGATGGGGGGAAGAAGCCCCTTGTATTGAAGTAACTTCCTTAAACGGCGCACGGAGACCCCCAGAACTTATCAAGTAGAAGAATCCCACGATGCCTGCATCTCTAACGAAGGCTCTCGAGGGACTCTGAGAGGGGTTGTTTGGTTTTTGTTTTCTCCCGTCCCTGTCCTGAAATTTTCGAGCGACCAGCTCACTATAAGTAAATCCAAATCCCAAGGAGCACGGTGTGATTTAGAAGTTATAAAGAACAGAACTTATACATACAAATAACGGAGTTGTCACTCAAGTCCTCCCTTCCCAGCTCCTCCCCCCACCTCTTCCACAACTCCGAAATACTGACCTGTTGCCCCGACTGCGCCTCTCCTGCAGAAGCTTAGGATCGTACCCGGGGAGACAAGATCCAAGGAGCCCTCCCCGGTCGCCTATTCAAAGCGGCGTTCCGCGAACCCTCCGAAACGGATCCCGCCTTTCATCTGGTCTGCTTGCTGCTTGAAGCGCCAACAAGAGCCGCCAGCGGAAAGAGCGGGAGCCGGAAAGTCCCCGGGCTTGCAACCTGAGGCGCCGCCGCTTAGCACCACACGGTATTGTTTCCAAAAAGACACTCGCTTCCTGGCATTACCCGCACAGCTGATGAAAGACACGCCTCCCCCCCCGCCGTGACGTCAGGGGGGGAGCGGGTCTAGCCAATGGGGAGCGGCAGGCGCGCACGTTCCCAGCTCGAGGCGCTCGGGGCTGTCACAACGTGGGGGAATTTGTGGAGCCCGGCTCGTGATCGCGGTTCACACAGGCAGGCAAGGCTGGAGAGCCGTTTCCAAAAGCCGCTGGGAAACGGGGCGAGGACGGGCAGCTACCGCCTCCTTTCCCCGAACCGTGGCGCAAAGGCGGCGAGAATCAGTGGGAGACCTGCAGCGGAAGATTGCATCTTAAACCTGACCTGTTTCTTGCCCTGGCATTCCGCCCAAAGCCAAACCTCGCAACCGGTCGAAAGGCAGGGCAAGTCCAGACTTGCAAGAGAAGCAATTTTGGTGCGGTCCTTAACGCCTTCCTTTTTTTTTTTTTTTTCCGAGTTCTAAGGATGGGCATCCAGAGAACCTCTCTCCTGTGTTCTTGGTTGTTTGCAATCGTCCTGAAATAGTATAGGATCTCCTGCTCGAGGGGGTTGGACTAGAAGACCTCCAAGGTCCCTTCCAACTCTATTATTCTGTAATTCTATGTCCTCAGCCTGGTGTCCATTGGTAGGCTACAGTTCCCATCTTCTTCAGCCAGAACAGTGGCTGGAGAGCATGGGCCTATGTGGGTAATGCAATATATCGAAGGATGCCAGACTGAAGAAGACTTGGATGCTTGTTTTTCCTTAGTTGGTGCCCCCAAATTGGGCAGCTACAAATTGCCAAATAAAAAGAAAAAAACTTTTAGCTGCACTATAGTAATCCTAGATGAAACCAGGTGAGAGGGCACAAAGAACTGTTCCAAGTCACTTCTGATATGAAAAAGATATATTATTTGGCTTTTGAACAGGGAGGTTCAATTTAGTTGTGATAGTAGATAACCTTTCATAAACTTACCCTCCCAGGATTTGAATTAAACCTTTCTGGATATAATTTCCTTCTAAACAACCCCATTGCCTTTGCTTTTTATGTACCTTGAAGAATTCCCAGTGGATAGCCTTCAGTACTTACTTCCCTCCATTGTCAGAATTGTCAATTTATTCTTACCCTTGCTTCCTGTTTTGAAACCACTTGCTGCCCTATAGGAGAAGCTTGCCTACTTTGAGAAACATAAATATTTTTCAAAATAGCCATGGATATGGTTGAGCTTTATACTAGCAACATTAATATAAAACCTGCCATTTTTCTCTTTCTTTCCTAGAAAGGAACTTGTACTTTGACACAGATCAAGATAATCTTTCTTTTATTAGATTTGGAGGACCGCCCAACTCCACTGGCCACTTACTCTGGCCAGTTTATCATTTAAAAAACAGGAAAACACAAGGCAAACATTTATACAATATATCTAACTATCTATCCACCTATCCACCCACCAACATGGTTCCACAGCCATCTAAAATCAGGTCTGTAGAAGAGTCCTGTTTTAACAGATCTTCGGAAGATCATTCCAGAGGACAAGTACCTCTGGAATTATTTATTTGAATAGTTCTAAAGAGAGCAAGTGGGCCTGATTTTATTGAATGGCCAAAAACATGATGAGATCAGCAGTCCTTCAAAAACCCTATGCCATGAAGGACTTTATAGTTAATGATCAGCATTGTTGGAAGTTAACACCACCACCACCACCCAAGAAAAATGAAATATGTTAGGATATATTAAAAAGGCAGAATATTTCCCCTAAAAGAAGTAGAAACTCAGAGAGGCAGAAACTCAGCCCCCTCCCCCCGTTTGTTAATGGGCCATTAAGGCCTGGGTCAGTCTATTCTATATAATAAAGTTCTACTTCCTTCAGGCAGAGCCATTTAATTGCTCTTCATTGCACCACCCACCAAGTTTCAACCAAACTTAACACATAGACAACCTACAAAGCTAGCTATTACCTGATAGCAACCAATCAGGATACTCTTCCTGTGCCCCAGGAAGTTCAAAGCCAAAGAGGGTATAAAACCCAGGGACTCTGAGCATCTCTTCCCTTTTTCTTCACCCAAGAGCTCCAAGGCATGTGATCCTGTCCACCATTAAACCATCTTTCCAAACAGCCTCCATGTTTCCAGTGTCTTTCTCCCCACTTGGAACTGAACCCAGATGGACATTTCTTCCAACAGCATCTTGAACTGCACCAGAAGCTTACCAGCAACCAGTTTACACAGCAGTGGTGCCACAAGACACAACACTGCCTGCACCACTGCATTCTGGACCAGCTGTAACTTTCAAGGGCAGCTTCATGTAGACCATATTATATTAGTCCAATCACAAAGTGACTAGGCCATTAGTCATTCTAAGATATAATCTGAAACCTTCATCGTATATTTATTTGATTTAGGTCCTATATTTTCTTCTATCCTTCATTTTAAGAGTATGTCACTATAAAATATCCTGTTCAGTGGTTGTCAGCCTGGGGTCTGTGGACTCCTGGAGGGGGCTTGAAGAAATGTTATGATTTAAATCTTAAGTCTTAGGGTTCCATGGTCATAGTCTGTGGCCACAAAATGTATTTAAAGAGAGTCCAGAATGAAGAAAATGTCCTTTGCTCAATTCCTTTAACTACTTTAGCTTTGATAATGTTGAAAATCTATTGAAGGATAGTCTCCCAACAGATGGATTTAAGGGCTGTCTCACTGCCATCAAGGCTAATAGCCATGGATCCCTTTTCCACCATTTCCCATTTTAAAAAGACTGAATGAGCTGTTCCGTATTAGAATGTGGAACAGGAGAGAACGTCTCATTTTAAGGGGCAGAAGAAGAAGTCTTGTATCCCCTGTTCCCATGTAACACAGCTTCATGGCACTCTCATCCATAGACACTTCTCTTATAGAATTTAAAACAAAAATACTCATTTTTCTGCACTGCAGCATTCCTGTTTTCCTGGGAGGAAGAATGGCATTTTCCCAGATTTAAAATACACAGCCGATGACTGGAGAAAATGTGATATTCTTGCAACTTATATCACCTCATATCAGACAGCAGATAACTAGATAACTCTATAGAAGAGACAGACATTTGTGCAAAAATCTGATGGTTAAAAAGCACCTGTAGAAACGCCATGGGCTGTTTTTCTCTGAACTTACCAGTAGAAGGCAACATAACCAACACTGGATTGGGTTTTAGTACTTTTTAAATGGAAAGTATTAAGGTACAATATTAAAGTACTATTGGTTCTTCAAGACTCATCATCATCGTCAAAGAGGAAATGTTTGAATTAACCTTTTTTTTCCTTGGGGAGAGTGGTTTTAAAGGGAATTGGCCACATTTCTATAATTCCATTTATATATTTATTTATTGTTGTCTTGCTTTTTAAAAGACATTTAAAAAGATAAAAATTCATGCATTTTCAAAGAAAATACACAGAAAATATTTTTTTTAAATGAAAATGTAACAAAAAAGAAAAAAGGTATATTAGTTGTAAATAGTTACAATTCTATTTATATCTCATACCATATTTTTTGCACTATAAGACACATTTCCCCCCCCCCCCCAACAAAGCGGGCGGAAATGTCTGTGCGTCTAGTAGAACAAATGTTGCTGAAGCCCCGCCCACCCACCGGCCCCCACCCACCAGCCTCTGCCTCCTAGCAATTTGCCTCCTTGCAGCAAACAGCCTGGTCAGCTTCAACACAGCCTGATTTAGCATGAGCAGCTGATTGGCGGTTGGATCAGCCTCCCAGAATACCCACCAATCACCACTGCCTGGAATGGGCTGAAAACGGGATGCACGCAGGCTGAAAATGGGGTGCATGGAGGCTGAAAATGGAGCGCGTGGAGGCAGCGATAGACAGCGATTGGCGGTGGCAATCCCCTGGGCCTGGAACAGTGGATCAGTGGTATTCCGGGGGCGGGGACAATCCAACCGCCAATCAGCTGCTCATGCTAAATCAGGCTGTGCTGAAGCTGACCAGGCTGTTTGCTGCAAGGAGGTAAATTGTTGGGAGGCAGAGGCAGATTTTTTTCTCTTGTTTTTCTCCCCAAAAGCTAGGTGCGTCTTATCTTATGGTCTGGAGCGTCTTGTAGTACAAAAAAATGTGGTAGTTATCTAATGCAATTATTGAGGTACATATGTGTTTATAATACATTTTTATAACTATAACTAATATAGTAATCTACCTTTTAACTCTTTATACCTTATTTGTATAAATGAGCCCCACATTTTGCTATGTATGTGTCCATATAAAGTATATATGTCTATTGGCAACCCACTCTTAAGTGAAAAGTGCAATCAGTTCATTAAGTAAAAAGGGCCATACAGCGGAACCTTGGATCGTGAACGCTCCTATTCGCCACCAAATCGGGTGGCGAACAAAAAATTCACCCAATTTTTGAATCGGGTCACGAATCAAAAATCAGGTGTCAAACAAAATTGGCGTGGAAAATTCCCTTTCCATGCGGATTTTGCCTTTGGTGCCATTTTTTTTACTACACACATGCGCAGTCAGTCAAGCTTCCGGACGCGACTAAATTGGGTCGCGACCAGAGTCCGGGAACAGATTAAGGTCGTGATCCGAGGCTCCTCTGCATATTTATCTTTCCAATGCTGCAATATCAGTTCTTTGGCCATGGTAAAAGAGAATCCATTTATATTGTCCGGTTGTTAATTTTCAAGTGCTAGGTACAACATGGGGTTCAAAATAATATCATCATGTGGAAAAAACACACAATCACATTTACATAATCCAGTATTTTTTCCACAATAATTCATACTTTATAACCATAACCTCCATTTGAATTGCTGCGCCACAATATGATAGCACATCACTGGTTTTTCTTTAATATATTATAATATATTATTATTTTCCAGGTAATTTGTATTTAAAATAAACCTATTTACATAGGGTTCATTCACACAATACAAAATGTTTAACCTGAGCCAATCAGGTGAACACAGCATTCACCAACAGCTGGGCTCCTGCCTGTGTCTTCCAGATGTTTAGGTTCATCTCT